GAGAGAGAGAGAGATGCATGGCTATGTGACTGTAGCGCAGTATTATGTACTCATATAAATAAATTATTTCCAGGTTTGTCAGGGAGAGTGTGACTGAAAGCAACATACCTGGTGGAGAGGCAAAGGTTGAATGAGGGAGTTTTATGAAATTGATGTACCATTCCATGCATTGCCGTCTCAAAAATGAGTGAGGATGCCCCTTCTTCAATGCTTTCCAAAGAGCTTCACGGATCCTGCTCTAAATTTTCTAATCTATTACTTTATCAAATTGAATTGTGAACCCTCCTTGGTTCCCTTTTTGTGCAACTCTTGACATCTTGTGATATATAACTTCCTTGTAATGTTCTCTCTATAAGTTATGATGGGATATGACAGTTAACTCTTCCAAAAAAAATGTATGATGGGAGATGAGATTTTGAGGTTGTATGAGAGGCAATTTTATACTAAAGGATATTCAAGTCATTTAGGGCTTTTCTGCTATTTCTCAGAAATTATGGCTGCTGTTTCTGGTGGGATATAACTTATTTATTTTACTTCTCTGGTGGACCAAGGATTTGTGTATTTGGGGAATTGAACAAAACACCTGAGAGAGACTTTAGAAAACTTGGACCCGCGGGTCGAATTGGTTGCCCACTGATCCGAGTTGAACCAGCTGGGTCGGCAAGTTGGCTCAGCCAAACCAAAAATAAAACAAAAAATGTTGATAAAGTTGTAGAGTTTAAAATGTTTTTAGAATTTCAAATCCTTCTAAAACATTAGTTTTATGTAAAAGTTTACGATGAGACTATTTACCTTTAGTAAAAGGTGGTCTCAATTAAGTTTCACTATATGTAAAATTGGGTGGCTGTATTTATTCCATTGGCCAAGCTCAAAGTTCAAAAGGAATTTTCTTGAATTTTGTGATATACTCAAACTATCAAATTTTACATCGGATAGTTATAAGTGATTGATCTTTTTATACAAATTGTAAAATGGTTTCATCGTATACAATTCCAAGTTTTATCATGATAAAAATGTTCTTTGTACACCCTTAGATCCAAGTGCCAATTTAGAGAGGGACTCGGATTGGGTGGCCACTGGCCCCGGTTGGACTCGGGCAGTTCCTAATTGTAGATACTACACTATGCTATGCATTTGCTATATATGAAATTTCGTGCCTAGTTGAGAGAATCAGAAGATTTGACTTAATGGTTGGGAAATAGCTATCATAGCAGAATATTAATATCAAGGGAAAGTGTACAATAAGTAAACGTTACAAGAATGTCCCAATTGTGGGGTTGGCAATGGACCTGGACCCAACTTGGGACCTGTGGGGTGGGCCTGATCCGGGTTTGGGTATGTGTATGGGTTCCAAAATTGGACTCGGTAGGTCGGATCTGGGTCCAAATCTTGGACCTAAACGCTATTTAGGTATGGGTTCGAGTCCAGTTGGGTTCAAGCCCAGTAATATTTTTCGATTTTCAATATATAAAATATAGATACATAAATATTTTAATATTTGGGTCGGTCTGATCGAGTTTAGGTCCGGCCGGACCCAAACCTAGACCCGGTCCTTTGCCATCCCTACCCAATTACTTTGTCACTGGAACTGAAAATGGATGTCAATGGATATCTCGGGGTGTGTCATTGACTGAATTCAAAGTAAAGCTGATTCAGTATAATGGTTAAGAATAATTGTGACCCCTCTTATTAAAGATAAATGATCTTGTAATATATAATATCTAATGTAAATACAAAGATAATTGCACAGCAATATTTAAATCCCATTTTATTGATAGAAGACTAGGAAAAAAAATATTTCATGCATAGCAAATAATAACAATTTTAGGAGAAGCAAATAATTCAAGATGGTTTAGCTGTTAGTAGGTAGGCTTGGGCTGATTGTCTCATTTTCCTTGTCACTAGTTTAGCAGTCAAAAAACAAATTTTAAGCCGATGTCCCATTAGAGCATCCGTATATGGAAAAAGTTTATAAGGGTGAGGCTCGAAACAATCAAATTAGGGAACACCTCAAAAATCCATTAGAAATGGTTGTTTTGATGCCTAAAAATCCTTAAATCCATTGTCTCGACATCAAGATGTACGACATGAGAACAAATAGATTTTGTCTTGGAAAGAGTGCAAATTGTAGTGCATTTTTTAGATTGTCAATTTTTAAGATTTTCAAGTGTTTATAGACCTGATCAATCTATACTATTTTTAAAACTTTAAATTTTACAATTAAAGATGAAAATAAAATTTTTAAGCCACCTCAAAGATTTTTATTATTAAAACATCTTTTGACACTATTTGAAGGTGTGTCTTACCATGATTGTTTAGGGCCTCAGCCTTATCCAAACCACACCCTATTATAATTGCTTGTATTTTATCGTTTAGTTATTTATTTTTAAGGATCAGAAATCCACCTTGCCTCTTTTTTTTTTCTTTTCTTTTTTTTAGAAACCCATCTTTTATTTCAATAAAAATGGGCTAAGAAGCATAAACAACGGATTGCGGAGAGGACATCTGTAGAGAGAAGTAAACTGTCAGACCATTATAAAAAGCCTAAAATATATTACTCCCAAGGGAGTATACTGTCTATTTATTCCCACGGATCAAACCCCTTCTAGAATCAATTTTAGGATCCAAAATTTTGGGATGTGACCTCCTCAAACCATAGACTAACCTCAATAAAAAGAATTCCTTAATTACACCATCAATGTGCTTGAAAAAATAAAGAAAGTTCATCTTATAGAGGCTGAGATCTAAATGTTAAAAAACTCGAAATTTAATTTGTTTACAAATAAATGTTCATTCCATTTGTTAGGACATGAACTTTATAATTTACAAAAAGAATTTATGAAAGTTGAAGATGATGGATGGTGCTTGAGGTTCTAGAGCAAATCCTACAATGAATGTCAATCAAGCTCATATGAACCAACATGTCAGAGATGTCCCAAGTGAGCTGAAGAGTGTGATCAGAAGGGTTGGTGGAGGGGGATGACACTCAAGGGAGCTAAAGAGTAAGTGGAGGGGGAGGACATGTTAGGCTGCGAACCCGAACCCGAACCCGAAAGTTCTACAGGTCAACCACCTTGTAGGTCGCTAGAAATAAACTGAGTCACATGCGGCGGACTCAATCCCTCTTCGACATGGATACATACTTGAGGCCCTGAACATCGTCGTTTTGAAGCTTTGTGCGGCGAGGTGTAAGGAACGGCTCTGACATCCCTTTGCCATCGGGGCGGAGACCTTGGCCCGGTTTAAAATCGTCCCGAAGGAGCTCACGCAAGCCAAATCCGGAACAGTGGTGAGTCCGTTACCAGTCATGACAAATCCGGATATCTTCATCCCATACGGACACCTCGGTCATGCGCTGGTGAGGCCGGTGGACCTTCCTTTTACCCCTGTAAGCCCTCTTAGCTCTCTTTACACCTGTCATGAAAAATGATTTGGATGAATAAATAGCATTTTTTGCATAAAATCATGGTGAAGAGAATGAAACTACACCAATCCAAAAAATTAGAACATTATCATATGAGTAAATCCTATAACCACTGTAGATGAGACAAATTCTCAAAAAACCACCCAAAAATTCACAAGAAACAAGATTAAGAATCACATTAGTTATACATTCTATTTTATATCATGATTTTCAAAAAAGTCTTCCTCTTTTTTTTTTTTTTTCCAAAATTTTTTAGAAAAAGAAACTCTGCATTGCGTACCACTGGATTGGAGAGGTCGTATGTTCAATCTCCCCACCATAGCATCTTTCTCTTTCATATGCAGATCCATGGAAGATTTCTGGACTCTAGGACCTTGGTTAATATAACAATGTACACAAAGAAAAATAACTAGTTAGTTAAATGTGTATATAACAATATACACAAAGAAAAATAACAAAATTCCTGAAGTTACATCCATGGCCATACACTTAAAACCCATCCATAAATATTATCCCATCCTCATCAGTTAGTGCAGGTGTTGCCCATCTTCTCTCTAAAATCAGCACCGCACTGCAATCATGGCAACCATTACCTCTAAACCCATTGAAATCTTAACTCTCGCTTAATAATGTAATACAGAGTTAGGATCGCGGACCATTTTTATTCCACCACTTAATTCTTGCTTAATAATATAGTATATAGATAATTACCATCTCTCTAAATTTAAAAACCTCAAAATTCTAGAACATTTACAAAACACAATAATTTCCGGGTGCAAGGAAACGGAGCCAGAGCTTCCGCCTTCCTAGGAACCGCCAGCTTCTAGTTGTTAAATACCTCCTTCCAAGGCCCCTCTCTATGACTATTTCTGAAATCCCTCTCTCTCTCTCTCTCTAAGCAACTCAACCCTCCATTGCCACTCGCTCAAACGAAGCTCAATCCTCCTCGCCTCAGGTCTATTTCCCTCATCGCCCCCATTGCTGCAAGCTAAGAGTTTAGAGAAAGCCACAGTGAGTCCTCTTTTTTTTATTTTTTATTTTATTTTTAGAGCTCAAAGAAATAATCCCACATCTAACTGAGATTTTATTTCTGATTTAGGTTTTTTTTTTATTAAGCTCAAACAAGTTTAACCCCAAGTCTACAGAGGTATTTTTTATTTGATTTTTGGTTTCTTTTTTCTTTCCTGGTTATGCTCAAAGAAGAAAACCCCCATATCCACAGAGTTTATTTATTTATTAGTTATATTATATTTTTTCTGGTTAAGCTCAACCGAAGAAATGGTTCATTGCTGGTTTTCTTTTTTCTCTTTTGCTGGTTATATTTTTTTTTTTATCTTTTTTGTAGCTGGTTTTATGTTACGGCTGGTTATACGAATTTATTTTTTTATGGCTATTTATACCACCCATAAATTTGATCACCACGTACTTGGCTGAGCTGCTGGACAAGGCATTCCCAATCGTGTGCAATATCTAGGTTTCTATCACCTCTCTTCCTTTCTAAACATCTGTTTGTTCCAATTTTAGTTCGAGTCGATTGCTTGTTTCTCAGGTTCATGTCTTCGTATTTTCAATATTATTGCATACATCAGCTCTCTATTACATACTTGTTATTCAATCTTTAAATTTTCACGCTAATCAGAGCAGTTTTCTAGCTGGTTTTGGTGCTGATTGACGAAAGATGAATCAATTCAACGCACAAAATATTTAATAGACTTCTATAAAATATACTCATGTCAGATTATGTACTCCGTCCATTTATTCCTTGTTCTTTTTAGTAATCGGTTTCTCTTGGGAATTAGAGCTTATGCTTCTTATTTTACCATTACATGATTTGGGCTTGTGTTTTCTCTTTGTTTTAATATCGAAATGATTACCATTGGGACTATGATTGTCTCATCTTTCCAATATGGAATGAATCCGCATCAAGGTTCTTAGTTTGCTATGCTATTTATGTTTATGATTTTCCAATGGGTGGTTTCACCAAGGCTTGATTGGAGCTTGACTTAGATGATCAGTCCTCTTTATCTACTATTTATAGTGCAAATGTGGGCTACATGACGAAATTACAGTGCAAATGTGGTGTTTATAGTGTATTTACATATGTGGGTGTGCAGTAAGTTTGTTTTTGACAAATAAATTTTTTTTTTAGAGAAATAACATTTGGTTTTTATATATTCCATCAATCTAACAAAGCATTAGAAGAAGTTGGTGTTGCTCTTGATTTGATGGCTTAATCCTGGAAGTATTACGCTGATGCAGTAAGTTTGTCTTCTCTCAATGTTAACATTATAAAAAAAAAAGTTTGGCTGCTCTCTCTTTCTCTCTCTCTCATTCGTCTGTATTTCATAAGACCTTTGTGGTGAACTTTTAATATGGTTATGTGCTTATCTTTTCTGGTGTACTTGTGTGGTTGAAATTTGATTTTTTATTGAGTGCCTTCCTATCTTAAGTTGCATAGATATGAGATCAAATTTCAATCTTAACCATATATTTTAAGAAATGCGTTAGATGGGTTGTAGCAAGAAAATCTTATTCATCAAATGATTTTGCATATCAAATCAATGAAATACATAATGAATGGTTAAAATAGGCAGTTTCCAGCTTTCCCAATACGGAACAAGTGAAACTAGCAGCACCACAGTTTATCAAACAAGGTTCCCAGCTTTTAGGCTACTAAATTTCATTTTCCTCCCAAATTCCAGGTAAGTCAGCAGCAGGGAGATTCCCAGGGAAACTGTAAAAAAAGTTATCAAATACACTCTCTCTGTCTCTCAGTTTCTTGGAAAATCCAGGTTTGGCTCAACGATAATGGATTCAAAAGCAAGCTCTTCTAAGAATCATGCATCTACTACAATATCTGAGAAGCCAGTGATTGTTAGGGTTAAGAGGAAGGCAAACCAGGCTCCTGTTGATGCTCTTTGTAATTTAAAGCTTGGCTTCGATTTCTTCAGTTCATTTCTAGTTTTGTAGTACTTTTGTTGTTTCTGATAGTGTTTCATGTTGTTTCTTGCTAAGAATACTTAAGCCAGTTTCAAATGAATTATTTGTAGTTTATGCAGAAGCTAGGTCCGGCTCATAAATAAGCAAGGAAGGCTTTTTGGCTTTTCTATGGTTTTAAATTCAAGTCTTAAGCCAGTTTCAAATGAATTATTTCCTCATATCCTCTTTTATTGATGTAATAGTCCGTGTATATATATATACAGCAATGATCCAATGCAATGGTTGTATTATAGTATAATGCAACGACACTTCTAGAAAACCATGTTTGTGATATTTGTATGACTCCAAATTTTGCACACACACTCTCTTCATTTCAATAATCAAGCCCCCAAAAAAAAAAAGTTCAATTTGAACCCTAGATATGGTTAAAATGAATCCCCTCCAAAAACGAATCTGGACCATTCATTTTGTGAATTTCAAGATCTTAGCCTTTATAAACTCAAAATCATTGTTTTTTTTTTACTTTGTTTATCTAATGATAATAAAGCCATCCAAAAAAATTGGATATGAAAAATCCTTCTAGGGCCTAGATCTAAGCATCTCACCAAAATGAACGGCCTATGTTAATTGGGTTAAAAAAATACTTTCTAGGTTGTGTTTTCAATTTTTTCTTTTTTTGTGATTGTTCATTAGAATAAAAAGAGTGTATATTTCAAAATTTGGATCAAACAAATGGCCATAAGATGGTTTTTTAAGGTTGTTCCATCATATTACTGTACAACGGTTGCATGGAATCATTGCTCATATATATATATATATATATATATATATATATAGATATATAAAGAATTGTCTCCTTAGGTGTATGAATTTTCCTCATAAAGGAAAGCATTCAATGAATTTTTTCCTTTACTCAATAAAGAAGATTGTAATTTTTTTCCCTATAAGTGTTGATTTATTTCCTTTGTTCTAGGGTTGGAGATTAATGATAGGCCACTGAAGCGGGCGACTTTGGATATTTCTGCTCTGTCCATTTCTGATTCAATTGGCAAAGGTAAATTTGCTTTGTTAATCTGTTGTCATGACCTAATTTTTGAAGTATTTTGCTCTAATTTATTTGATATTTTTCAGTTTTTTAAGAAAATTATGAGCTACTTTTTCATTGAGAAAATTATTAATTAGTTGGTTACAGAAATTTCGAGCTTTGTTTATTCTATATGTGGTTGGTTGTAAGGTCTTCACTTTTATTCATTTTTTTCGTTTACCAAATAATTTTCTCTTTCAGGGACTGGAATGATTCCTGAATGGGTTCCCTTCAGAAACTACTTTTTATTTTTCCTTTTTTTTTTAGTGTAATAAATGAAAATTCTTATAATGTCAGATTGGTTTGAATAGGAGATCTGAGTGTTATTGTCATTTCATACATTGTGAGCAGTAGTCGGTGATGTTATCTAGATGCATTTGAGGAGACTTAGTCATTAAAGGTATATGCATATTGCACATGTTGTTGAAAGCTTTAATTTGCGTGTAATGTTGTCATATCCCATTGATGTTTTTAAGTTATCATAAACTTAATTGATTAGATTGCTCGAATATGAAATCTTCTTGGTTCCATTGACAGATGAAATATTATGCATGCAATGCATTCTATTAGGTAGGGTTATAGGGTAGTGGTGCAAACTGCATGTGTTCATCACATGAACAGTTTTTTGCTTCCTTATGGTGACTTGCAATAATTATATCTTGTTTTAATCATATAGATTCTGCTTACATCTCTGGTACATATGAACAGGTTATAGGTGATATCGACTTTGTTTTTCGGTAATTATTGTTGCTATCAAATGATTAGTTTTGGCTTGTTATGGTCAGGCAATTCTCCCAAATCTGTCTCTGATACATATCGTGATCTTTTGTTTATTTTTTCCTAATATTTTGAATTGTTATGCTGGCTCAGAAGAGGTGAAGGCCACAAGAATTTTGGTCCAGCGTGTGGAAACTATAAGCAGCTCTGAGGCCATACAAGATATTTTACTATCAGTTGTGGTCAGTGACTTTACATTTCCCAGTTTCAAATTGTTTTTGCATTTTAGTCAACCATTTCTCAATTTTTTTTTATTTTTTATTTTGCATTTGCCTCTGGATTATTACCTTTTGACCAGCAAGTAAACATGATATTAACCTATTAACTTATACCAGTACATACTTCAGCTGGAATTTATGATCTTTAAACTCAAATTAGCTATCACCTTAATGATGACTATTGGGTGTTTAGCCATTTGTACATATATAATAAAACAAGGGTGTTATTTTTCTATTCTTGATGGATTATGAGACAATCCAATCCTACAGTAAGGAAATTCCTGGAGTATTGGGACTCCAGAATATTAATGTCTCAAAACTATCTTTGGATGAACCCAAAAAGTCGTATCTGACAAGAACTTCGGTCCCCTGCATTCTAGCTTTTATATTCGTTCTTTTTATTTCTATACTTTCGCTTTGTTTAATTTTATGCGGTCATGTCCCTGCTTTTACTTATTCCATCTTGTTTAGGCAGCACAGCTGAGAATTTTGAAGGAAATTCTGTCCATTTTTTATACTTTTTTTAGCTATTTATAACTGACAAAGATAGCATTGAATATAAGAGAAGTGTACAAAATTACTTGAGTAAGCCCCACCTAGACCCCAAAAACACAAGATCTTATTAACAGTCTCTCAGGGAGACTATGCAATTCATGCATCTTTGGTTTCTGGAAGTTTTTTTCCTTTGTACCTCCCATTTGTGTTTGCATTGGTTGGTTGCCTAGTTTTTGCAGTAATATGATACCCATTTTGGCCTTTTTGTTTAGTTAATATCTTAGAGGTTCTTTGTAAAATCATAGTTTTCCTGATGTTTCGATGTTCTAGGCTCTTTTTTAAGTCTTTCATAATGACATTTGGCCTTTGGGCTTTGTTATCATCATTCTTGTTTTTTCCTTTGAAGGAAGTGTCAACTGTAGTATTGAGTAATATAGAGAATACAAAAATGCCCCTTTTTGACCATCCACAACATGAAGTGCTCAAACAACAAAAGAAGGGGTACATTAGCAAAAAGTGAGAAAGCAAAAAGAGCCTAAAAGGTGTAGGCCGCTACAAAAGTCCGATAGGAAGAAAGAAGGTCGAAGAGGAGAAAAAGATGGGAGAAGTGAGAGATGAAAGAAGATAGAAGAGGTTCTATGCTGTGAGGCCTGCAAGCTGTGAGTGTCAGGTAGCTCCTCCTTTGGCCAATCTATCTGCGAGTGCGTTAGCTTCCTTCGGAATATTTCTGAATGCAACTGAAGCTCCCTGCAAATAATGTGAATGTGGTCAAAGAAATGGGTTAACCTCCAAGGTGAGGTTGATTTTCTGTTTGCCCAAGTGATGACATTGCTACAACTTCCCTCCACTAAAGTTCTGGGTGTTATTAATTAAGGTGGAAGCTCGCTGAAGGCGTTCTAAGATGGCTATGGTTTCAGCTGCTGTGGAACATATGTCCCCTAAATAGCCTGAGAAAGAGAGGATTTTTCCATTGTGGTCCAATAGACTTCCTCTGTACACTGAGTGTCCCAGGTTTCCTAGGGAGCATCCATCTATATTTAGTTTTAGTGTGCTCGTTGGGGGAGGAACTTAGTTCACCTGGGGAATGGAAGGACTTGGGGTTAAGAGGCGAACACTTTACCAATTGGGGGGGCAAATTGAGGAACCCAGTTTACTACACATAGGAAGTTTCCTTGACCAGAATATAACAGAGGAACTGTGAAGAATAGAGGGTATTGGTTGTGCCTGAGCTCGAAAGGTTTGAGAATTCCTTTCCCTCCATTACTATCCAGAAAAAGGCAAGAATAGAGAGCCTCCATCTTGTGCCCAGTGTGGGGAAGCCCTTGGGGGGGGGGGGAGGGGATGTAGGCGTGAAAGAGTTGTTACAAATTTTGTGGGTAGACCCATGGCACCAAAAGATCTATGAGTTTGACCTTAAGTAGAGAGAAAACGGGACAATGGAGAAATATATGGTTGGCTGTCCTTATCCTGTTGGCATATGATGCAACAATATGAATGCGAAGCTCCCTTTTTTGTATGTGGTCTATGGTGAGGATATTTCCATGACCCAGTATCCAAGGAAAAGCCTGTATCTGTAGCGGTTCTGGGACAGTCCATATATTACCGAAGATTGGGTTATGGGCATGAAAAAGCTGCAACGAGGAGTAGAACGTTGACGCCGTGAAAACTCCTCTTGGCATGGGCCCAAATTAGTTGATCATCCCCCTCCAAAGGAACGAATACTTATTACAAGCATTTTTGAAGGCCCATGAAAAGATGTGCTTCATTTTTGGTTAGCTCCTTTCTGAACAATGGAGTGCATACTAACCGGCCTACTACCTGGTCCACATAATCTCTCATCTGAGCAAGTCTGTTTGAGGCTACCAAAAATAGTCCTGGCTACTGGTCAGCGAAGGTTTGGGTTCGCATCCACATATCCATCCAAAACTTGACCATGTCCCTTGACTTACTTTGAATCTAGACCTAGATAGGAATGGGGGCTCTGCTCCTGGTTATGCTCAACCAGGCTCCTGATGCTTACGTCTAGGAGATTTTGGGAACCAACCATCCTCATTACTTCCCTACTTGCTGCACACCACCTCTTTCCATGGTTGGTCCTCTTCTGTGGCATATTTGCACCACCATTTCCCCATAAGGGCAATGTTTGTTTCTCTCATATTCCTTATACCCAAACCACCTGCCTTTTTGGGTTTGCATGTCGTCTTCCAGGCAAGTAGATGGATTTTCTTCGCCCTTCCTTCGCTCTAGACCATAAGAAGCTTCGCATGAGTTGTTCTAGCTTCAACTCCTACACCCACACTTGCAAGAATATGGAACATTGACAGGTATATAGGAATATTGGCTAAGGTTGCCTTGATGAGAGTTATTCTGCCCCACAAAGGAAGAAACCTACCTCTATGATTCTTTTCCTCAGTTTCCTCAGCATAGGGGCAACCCTAGGTAAGTGGAAGGCAACTCTTCAGAAGCACAACCCTGGTAATGACTGAGAGCCCTCACCTCTTGCTTTGGTATCCTCACTCCAAACATCCTAGTTTTATTGAAATTAACTTTCATACCAAAGGATACCTTATAGCATCTCAAGAAGAGCCAAGTTTTTCTAGCTGGGAAGGGCAGTCATCTGTGAAGACCATGGTATCATGAATGTACAACAGATGTGAGATGAGGGTCTGATAGGTGAGGGCAGAAACCTAGGAGGGTCCCTCGGTGGAACAGATTGGAGATCAATCTAGAGACGATTTCTCCATAGGTAGCAAACAGGAAAGGCGAGACTGGGTCTTCTTGCCTCTAATCTCTCATAGTAGTAAAGTAACCCTTTGAGGCCCCATTAATAAGTGTGGAGAAGGATGTGTTGGTTTTATAGCCTTGTGCCCATGGTCTCCATTTTACCCTGAACCCCATTCTTTCTTGGATCTCATCTAATAGTGACTAATCAGCATGGCCATAGGATTTTTCCCAGTGTAATTTGAGCATTAGGCCCGAAATGGCGTCAACACAAAGTTAGAACTCTGGAGGGATGCTCTAGAATCTAAATGTTTTAAAATTTTTCAAGCTAAGTCAGATTATATGGAATGCAAGTTTAGTAAGAATCGGAGTAGAGACGAGGAAGTAGTTAGGATTGATGACCAAGAAATACCAAAAAGTGTGCACTTTCGATATCTTGTGTCGATAATCCAAGAAACTGGAATGATTGAGGAAGATGTCGCATATAGAATTAAAGTTGGGTAGGGGAAGTGGAGATGTGCCACCAGAGTTTTAAGTGATCACTGCATTCAATGAAGTTGAAGGGCAAGTTCTATAGGACAATTGTGAGACCAACTTTACTTTATGGGACGGAATATTGGGCGGTCAAGAAACTACATACCCATAGAATGAGTGTAGTTGAGATGGATGAGTGGTAAGACAAGAAGGGATAGAATTCGAAATAAATACATTTGGGAGAATTTAGGTGTGACATCAATAAGCAATAAGATGAGAGAAAGTAGACTTATGTGGGATGACCATGTATGGTGCAGACTTAGTACAACACCTGTCAGAAGGTGCGAGTTAGTTCAAGTGAAAGGCTTAAAAAAGGGCTAGGGGTAGTCCCAAAAGGACACAGTTGGAAGTAGTGAGAAAAGATATGGGGACTTATGGCCTCATTGAGGGTATGACCCTTAAAAGAGCAGAATGGCGGACTGGGATTTGTGTAGTCGATCCCAAAAGTTGGGAAAAGGCTTTGATGGTGATGAGGCCCCTCTTTCCCAATAGATGTCTAGAGTGGATGGCTTCATGGTTAATGAGTGCTCCATTTAAGAATCTGTCTACCCGCCATGAAGGCTGACTGTGATTGGGAGATGACATTCCCATTGCTTTTTTTGATCTATTGGCCAGGAGCCGAGGACCTTAGTAAGAATTTTGTCGGGGGAGTTAAGGAGGCTAATTGGCCTGAAGTCCTTAGGTTTATTTGCCCCTTGCAGCTTTGGGACTAACGCTATCAGAGTGGAGTTTAGTCCCTTGTGGAGTTGAACTCTGCAGTAGAATTGGTCGAAGAAAAGGAGGAGCTCAGAGGAAAGCATGTCCCAAAGTCTGCTAAAGAACCCAAGAGGGAAGCCATCTGGACCTTGGGGCGTTATCGCGCGCAAGCTCTAAGGCTGTCCTTTTGATTTCAGTCAAGGAGAAGGCACTTTCAAGCCAGGAGGAATCATTTTGGGTAATAGAAAGGAAGGTAAGATGACCCAAATGAAGCCTAGGATTTGGGTTCTTAGAGTACCTTACCATAGTCTTTTCTACCTGGTTGGGTTGGGTGTTAGTGTGACCAGCGACCTGAACTTGAGTTATAGCATTATTCCAACGCCTGGAATTGCCATCTTATGGAAGAAAGCCGTGTTTTCATGTGTCCTCCTAGTCTCAACTTTTCCAATGAAGTTTTTCAACACACGTACTTTGGTATCCAGTTTGGTTCATGAACATTTCCTGTCATCATTCTTCTTTTGAGCAATGCTTCCTGTTTGAGCAGGCCGGGTTTAATTTGTTGTTATCATTGTTGGAATAGTATTTGACCTCTTTTCTTCTGTTAAGAAGATGCCTTGAATACAATCTTTTCATGCAATTGTTCATTATGTAGCCAAATGTCAATGATGCAAAGACCACTGGGGCAAAAACTCACAGACCCAAGTTGGAGGAGAGGAGACTTGAGTTCAAACAGGATAAGGTATTCTCCAGCTAAATTGAGGATCAAATATGCTTTTTTTTATTGATTGAACTGCCTTTATTTGTGCTTGTAGTTTATTAGGGATGATTTTGTTTCTGCAATCACCATATATAATAGTAGAATATTATTCTAGGCTTATCCAATTAGCTATTAACATTGCTTTTGAGATACATATGTGATTCAATACTATATCTAAAACCACAATATATGTATGTATGTATGTACGTACGTGACATAAGAGTCATTTCCTGTATTGGTTGTTCCCAATGGATTATGGTTTTTCCAGAATCCAGTGGATTATACCTATAAAAGAAAGAATTGGGAGTATAGTGTATTTTCTTACATTGAAATCATGCAACCAACATTGCACATAAGCCTTTTTGAGAATGTCAAAATTGTTGTTTTCAGTTGATGATCTCCCCCCTCTGCCCCTTCTTTCTCCAGAGTATGAATAAATGTTTCTGTTCGACCTAATACTTTGTAAGCTTTGCCTTGGTGCCACAGAAGCAAGAACAGTTGCGCTCATCAGCAAGACAAAAGCAGGAGGTGTGTTTCTCCATTTCTTGATTCATTATTGGCTTAGCTGTCCTGCATTTTGTTATTCGTGTTGCAGGAATTAACCTCTCCCCAAATACACCCACACACACACACTTATTACTGGTAAATAGAAAATATCAACTTGTGAGGATTGTTTAAGGAATTGGGCTTGGGCTTGGGCTTGATATTGCTTAAGGTGTTGATGCTTGCAAATCTTCTTCCCAAATTTGAATCCAACTGCTGAACTACCCTCCAAAAAACAAACTGGTGAAGTTATTTTGCAGATATACAACAATAGAGATACCGATTCCTGTTGTGAAATAATTATTTACACTCGGTCTAGTGTTTAAAATACTGGAGAAATGAAAGCATCATTTTCGAATTATAGATTGACTATGCAACTTATTTTGCTGCTTTACCTTGCTTGCATGTTTGGAACACCGGAAAAGGGATAACAGTCATTAAAAAAATCGAGAGGAACCTATATTTCAAATATCTAGACCACCTGCCTCATCTATGCAGGTTTCTTGATAATGTCTTGACATTCTCCTAAAGCATGAAGCTGGTTAATCAGAGGTTTTTTTTTGCTCATATTGGTAAATAATGACAGTTTTGTCGGGCAATGGTTGAACATGTGAGAGAGAGAGAGAGAGAGAGAGAGAGAGAGAGAGAGAGAGCTTAAAAGGAACGTGAGAGTCCAAATTGGTCTCACACACCATCGAGTCAAATTTATATCAGTAAAAATAGAGAAACTGCCAATACAAACTGTAAATAGGACATATATCTCCTATTAACTTAAAATAAAAGAGAAATAAGGACTTTTAATACTTCCCTTCAAGCTGGGCCATAGATGTCACCCATGCCTAGCTTGGAACAAATTGTTTCAACCATATTACAGCCAAGAGCTTTGGTTATGATGTCTACCAACTGATCCTTAGATTTCACATATGTAGTAAACCCCTGCATGCTAGTGACCTTCACTTGAATAAAATAACATGCTACTTCAATATATTACTTCTCTCGTGAAACATTGGATTGCTGGCTATATAAGTTGCGACTTTATTATGACAATACATCTTTATAGGCCCAGCAATAGTAAACCCCATCTCGTCCATTAGTGTCTTCGGCCACATCATTTCACATATAGTATGTTCCATTGCTTTATATTCAGCCTCTGCACCAGATCTAGCTACAAAATTTAGTTTATTACTTCTCCATGTTAACAGATTTCCACCAATAAATGTACAAGTGGTTATTTGGCTTATAAATGAGACCTCTATCTGGAGCTCCCTTCAGATACCTCAAAATTCTACAAACAACATCTCAATGAGGGATCCTTGGAGAATGCATAAACTGAGTCACTACACTTGCTGCTAGAGCAATATCAGACCTAGTTATAGTGAGATAAATTGGCCTGTCTACAAGTCTTCTTTACCTTCTTGGATCCTCAAACAACTCCCTCTTATCAGTCAAAAAATTTTGTATTTGAATCTATAGGAGTATCAACTGGTTTAGCCCCTAACATTCCAGTCTTTGTCAACAAATCAGTCACATACTTTCTTTGTGACAAGCTAATGCGATGCTTTGATCTGACTGCTTCAATTCTTAGATAAGAAGTCCTTAGCTGGCAAATCCTTTGTCTGAACATATTGTTTTAGGTGCCTCTTCAAATGACAGATTCCTCCTTGATCATTGCCTATAATGACAACATCATCAATATATACAACTAAGACAATTATCCTGGAGTCCTTGTTTCTAGATAAACATTGAATGATCTGCATGGCTGTCTCAAAATCCATATGCCACGACAATTTCACTAAACTTTTCAAACCATGCACGTGGGGACTGGTTCAGACTGTCAATGGTTTTCTTCGACTTACGTGCCTTATCTGACTCCCTCTGAACAACAAACCCAGGTAGTTACTCCATATACACCTCTTGTAAATCACTGTGGAGGAAGGCGTTCTTCACATCAAGTTGTCACTGTGGCCAGCCGTTGTTTGTTGCTACAGATAGAACTACTCGAACTAAGTTTGGTAGCAGGTGCAAAAGGCTCAGAGTAATTTGTTCTAAAGGTTTAGGTGTATCCTTTGGCAACAAGCCTGCCTTTTAATCGCTTGATGGTGCCATTAGACTGGTATTTTACCGCATAAACCTAGCAAAACCCAACAGTTCTTTTTCTAGCTGGTAACTCCATGAGCTCCCATATCATTCAAGTTGAGTGCATCCATTTCCTCTTCCATTACTTTCTTCTACCAATATGAGATAGTGTTTCCTAATAAGATTTAGGGATAGAAATAAATGAAAGAGCTGAAGTAAAGCTTTGATAGGATGGGGGACAAATTTCGAAAGGTAATAAAATGAGCAATGGGATGTTGAGTACAAGATCTTATACCTTTATGGATGGCAATAGGTGCATTGTCATCACTAGACACAGAATGTGAGTCAGAAGTAGGACGTATATCTATAGGCGAAGATGTTGATTGAGTAGTTGGCTTAAGTCAGTGAAGGGTGTCCATTCTGCAATTTCCTTCTCATGTAAGACTTTTATGGATTTCTCTTGGGAGACATTATGAAATGTAGAAGTAATAGGTTAACTGGTCTAGGAAACTGAGGTGAAGAAGTATCAGCAGAAATAGTAAGAGGAACTATAGAAGATGATGACTGTGAGACCTCTTTTGGATTAGGGTAAAGGAAATTTGCATTAAGCATATGACCCTCTTCTGAAAAATAAGGGTTATTTTAAAAAAAGGTAACATCAACACAAGTAAATTTCTTTCGCTAGCAGTGGAACTTGTTAAGAGGGAAGTGGAAGTAGAAGGTTTGACACTAGCGTACTGTATTGGTTTAACAAGTTTATTATATTCTTTTCTTGTAAGCACAATAGAGTCACTAGCAGAATTTGTCTGTCGGTGATGATCACTAGGACCATTCGGATAAACATCATTGGCCTCAGATCTATAAGTAACCAGATTTGCCCAAGCGGGCTTACCAATCTTATCCCAACATTTATCAATTGTATGATTTGTACGCCTACAATGCGTACACTTTTCAAGTTCCATGACTCCTACCTCCATTATCTCTACCATGACCCCTTCCCAAGTGACCACCATGTCCCTACCTCTGTGTCCATCACCTCTCCCCACAAATGTGTAATGCCAATCCATCATTGATACTCAAGCCAGAAGGTGTGGGAGAGACAGATATGTTAACATGTTGAATGTGTGCATTTACATTATTAAGTGGATGGCAACTCACTCGCAAAATCTGTCCATGAACAGGATGGAACTTGGGATTAAGACCTGTTCTTCACTTTGCTTCCTCTGTGATTCTACATCACTAAATACAGGCTGATCGAGATTCAACTGGCTCCACATACCTCTAGCAGCACTGTTATATTTACTCACACTCTTATTACCTTGTTGCGATCGAAACATTTTCTCAAACAGTTATATACCCATGAGATGTTCTTATCTGATGAATATGTTTCTTTCAGAATGTCCCCAGATTTCTTTATTAGTGTCAAGAAACATCTCATTTGCACTTATTTGAAGCTCCACACTACTCCACGACCAAGTTCTCTCTCATCCACTCTTTATATCTACAATTATCCTTAGTCAAGTATTTCAATTTCCGCCTAGCACCAAGGGATACTTTAACAGACCGAGCCCATACAACATAATTGGACTCATTTAAGTTTATTGAAGTAATTTGTATCCCCACATGTTTAGGAAGACCGAAGGTTCCAAGTTTAATTTCATTAGCCACAGGTATATGAAATAAAGGTAAAGGGGCCAACCAGGGTCAACCGAATACAATCTCTCACACCACGCCTCGCAGAATGCTGAGAACATCTTTCTCATATTAAAAAAAAAAAAGAACAGAGAAATTCTTATCATTTGGATTGGAACATAGCCACTTTCTCACACTTGAACAAACTAGGGCAGCATCACATCACACCACGCTACCACTCTTTGAGTAGACTAGGGCAGCACCTGTCTGCACTTAAGATTTTTGACTAAACTTCGGGGAATCATCCATAGTTGCCCACAAACCTCGATATTCAAAGAGCAATCACATGAACAGCAGTACCACCACATCAAACCCAGACCCACATGGGTTTTTGCGCACAAAAAAAAAAAAACAATGAAACTAGGAAACAATCCTACAGTCAAGATCGAACAACCCTAGGAAGTAACCCTTTTTGTCTTGTTAGGGTAGAAAAAAAAAATCAAGAGTGAAGAAGATTAAAAGGGAAGAAACATATTTAGGATAGAAAAGAAAAGGTGGAGGGAAGAAAATGATCAAGCTCTGATATCCTATGTTAGAGAGTGGAGAAAGAGAGATGAAAAGAAAAGGGGAGAGGAAGGGAAAGCAACATGAGAGTCCAAGTTGATCTCACGCACCTCTCAATTCAGTTCTATACTTTTAGAGAAAGGGAAAAACTGCCCATACAAACTGGAAATATGACAGATAGATCCTATTTAAATAAGTAAAATAGAAAAAATGACTTTTAACAATAATCATCAATTATTTGTACTTTTCTTTGGTGTTTCTTTGCAGGATCTGGCTAAAAGTGCTCGTTTTGAACAAATATGGAAGAGCCGCAAGGGAAACGAAGAAGCACATCATGATAGTTTTGTGCGTGAATTTTGTCATCTCTATGATGTTGTCCGTGTCGACGAAGACGAGCGATCTTCAGATAGGGCATCAAGGCAAAACAAAAAAGACAGGTGATTTTGTTTTGCGAAGAATTTGTCCAGTCACCAATGGGTTATAGCTAATCATTGTTTAATGGGGTCATCACTTTCCAATAAATGATGGACACTAATGGAGAGAAGTTGGGAACTGTCAAACAAGATGTGACCTCAAAGATGGGTCCCTCTCCATCCCATCACTGTCCATCATTTCATTGGACTGTCATGCCTAATGGACTATTGTTTATGTCCATTGAAAAATTGTATGCTCTCCTTTGGGTTTCTATTTTCAATTTAACAGTTTTATCAGATTTTCTGTTGCTATGTCTTCTGAGTTTCTTTTAGGCATAATCTCTCTCTCTCATTTTTTTTTTTTTTGTGTGATTCAAACTGAGGAAAGGTTTCCATCTTACAGTGTTTGTGCCCACTTTACTTATTGGGATTGTATACTATAAGACCATTACTTTCGGTACAAGGTGGTCAAATCAATCATAGCTATTAGATGTGAATCCAATCGCTTGAGGTGTTTCATAGTTCAAAAAATTTTCTTTGGACTTTGAGCCCAATCACTTGAACACTACAAGCCACCCCGATTTCACTTCCAACAGTCATAATTGATTGTGAACTTGTAAAAGAGGTAAATGATCTTCTTTTGTAATTTCCTTATTTTGATTGTTTCTAACATGTTTTGGTTGATGCAGAGGTGCTGCTTTAGATGAAGGAACAATCCTATGTAATTACCTCCCTATGCTAAGGGAGTGGGTTCCTGATGCTGCTGATGAGATTGAAGCTGAATTGAATGCTTCTCATAAGCAAGGTATTCTTCAGTTGGTTGTGCATTTATTTCTTCTGGGTGGCCTACTTGATTACCTATGCACTAGCAACTAGATTTGTAAATTTTACAAAACTGAGACCAGTTCTCAGAAAAAGGATGGGAATTTCCAAAGATGATGGAACTGACACAAATCCATATATATATATATACACACAATGACACCATTTACCTTTAGTACAAGGTGGTCACAATTAATCTTGCCCATTGGATGTGAAATTCTATTGCTGCATTTATTCCATTGACCAAGCTCTAAACTTCAAAAAAAAATTCTAGAACTTTGTGACACACCCAAGCTACTAGATTTCACATCAGATGGTTGTAAGTAATTGTGATATCCTTGTATCAAAGGTAAATGGTCTTGTATCAGGTGGTTGAAGATGTGTCATTGTTTGGGCACAGAGTACAAAAGAAAATTTCTCGAATGTTGTACACACTTTTATCTATTGGATTTCACATCCCATGGCTAAAAGTGATTGTGACCTCCTTGCATTAAAGATAATTGGTCTCATAGTATACAATCTCATATTTACACACACACACACGCATGCACGCACGCACGCATGCACGCACACACACACACACACAAGATGAGAAATGGTCGCCTTTGTAATATTTTAAAAAAGAGTGGATAGTTTTGTCATCATGTTGAAAGCGGTAATTGCCTTGCAGAGTTTTGCAAACTAGTACCTTCTGCACCATAGTTTTCAAAACCAGTACCACATCTCAGTTTTCTTATACAGGCATCAGTTATTAGTTCATGCCTTGATATATCTGTACTTCTCTTACGAGTTCCTTATTTTCAAAATTCCTTGTTGAACTCATGAAGCTAGGCCCTTGCACCTTCCTGGTTTTACCGTGAGTTGTAAACTAAGTGAATGCCATGCCCAGCCTTCTGCTTGAACCTTTGGTGTTTGGTCTGGGTAATGTAGCCTCATAATTTAGTTTGGTCCCTACATTTCGTGAACATACAGAACCCATGAGGAGATCCCTAATTTGTTAATATCTATTTCTTCCTACTTTCCTGTGTGGCCTGGACAACTGCTTTTAGAATTAAGAGTTTTGTTGCGATGTTTACAGGTTCAGAAGTCATCTCGATACCTTTACCTTTTTCTGGATTTTTATTTGATATTATCAAAAATAAAAAGGAAAGGAAAACTTTTGGTTTAGCTACTGATTTCTTTCAATTCTGAATATTTAAATATTAGAAGAGTGGAAAACTAATGATTATCATTGCAATGCTTGTGACAAAACTTTGTGATGCACAGATGAATATGTATATGATGTATATGCTGTGGATGATAACCGAAGTCCTTTGGACTCAGATGCCTCATGTTGGTTTCCCAGGTGAGGGTTCTTTCTCATCCCTGTTAATTTAGGGAATGTGTATCATAGTCAAATGGACCATAAAAGAACCAAAGTCCATTGGGTTCACAAGTATTCTATGAAATGAGATATGGAACATCTAATGGGATCCTGTCATGTCATCTAATGATATATGTGTGTTGGCTTGAGAAAGTGTGCAAATTGAGGAGGAGCTATTTGGTGATGAGCCTGCTGATTCCGGTGAGGAAACTGATGATTCAAATGGTATGTTCTTTCTAGTTCTGCACTTTCAATTTCCAATCCTTTACTTGGTGTTGTTAATCTCCACTATCCTTCACTGGGAATGGATGTTGAGTGTGACTTCGGAGCATAAAAACGATTATGAAGTATTGTGTCAAAAAATTGGAACAGTAACAGTAAAATGATCATGTAATTCTCTCTCTTGGAAACTGATATATTTTGATTGCAGCTGAAAATAACCCTCGGAATGACTACCCTGACGAATCATCTGAAGACGAGGATCTTCAGAGCAAAAGCTCCTCCTACCTATCTGAGGAACCGAACAGCGATGATGATCGTGATGGTGACTACTACTATGGTAATGATGATGGTGATGATGATGATGGATTAGACCATGATGCTAGGGGAACATGGATGTATAGACGATGACATGGCTTTGTATGATACAACAGGAATATTGGAGGTGAGTACTCCCATTACTTTTGCATCCTTTCAATCAAATATAGCTCTAAAATGATATATATAATTTACTGTATATGGTGAAAGAATTTCCTTGTTCTTGGTCTTTTATGGATCAATGAAAATGACCCAAATGCTGTTATTCATTATGGGTATGAATTATACGTGCATTTTTGTTGTTCTCATTTTTGAAAAGGTGGGCCACCTTGTGTATCCCTGTTTGATAAATTGTAGGAGTAATGTTAATGATTCAGGTATGTATGCAGGAACTCATGGCTTGGAATGAATGATGTTTATGAGTAATCATTTCTCCTCAAGCTGTTCGTTTTCGTGGCAAGATGTAGACTCGCTGTTGGGGGCATGATAGTCATTTTTGAAACCCATGCCAGCGGTTGACTCACAGTCATGCGTTGTGACTTGTTAGATAGGATGCTCTTGATCTTGTATATGATATTGCTTACATTAGACCATACTAATATTATGTTTTTTTTACCCCCCTGCTATGGTCTAATCTAGTGTTGTTTGAGTCTCTCTAGGTTGTTGATTTTCCGACGCACTATAGTTTGAAGTGATATAGGTTCCATGTGGGAAGTGTGCATACCCTGCTGTGGTTCATTTTTTTTTAATGTAATTTAGCGGTTCACATATTTGAGGGCTGTAAATCGATGTTATTTTTATTTTTTTAAAATTTTATTCATACAAAAAATTGGGGTGTACTTACCTCTGATAAGAGTGCGCCCAATAAAAATATAAAATAATTTAAGTAGAAAAGTTTACTAAAATACCTCTAAATGTTTATAAATATTTTAGGCAATTTTTTATTTAAAATTGTATTTATTTATTTATTGAGTCTGCCCTATAAAGATGTTTGTATGCCTCAATTTAAATGTGAATAAGATTTATAAAAAAAATGATAAATAACAAAAAACAAAATCAATTGTGCAGCCATCAAATCCTATATTCCATCAAAAATATTGAAAGGGTGCTTATATTTCAATTTTTGTATGAAATATTTTTTATATTTTATTGAAAAAGGAAATCAATTTGTAGCTGTCAAATCGGTTTATATGAAGGGTTCCATCTTATGAAAAATAATTTATAAATTAATAATGTATCATAGTGTGAAATTAGCATGTGATGCGTGCTGTTTGGCATTTGATGTCAGGTTAAAGGAGGTATCAGAAAGGAACTTTTAGAAAAAAAGCTTTGTTTATTTGGGGTACCATTTCATACAATACCTTTCATACCAATTGGTCCTAGTGTGTCCTTCACTCCATTTCCAATTGGTAGCTAATTGGTGTGTGGAAATATTATCTCCCCGAACCTCAAGATAACTTTTTTATGTAAGTAATTTTTGGGAAATATTTTCATACGAATTAAATGTGCCTTCGAAGAAGGGTTTGTATGAGTCAGGAGGCTCGACCATTGAAATGAGTTCTCTCTCTAGAATATATTTTATATATGGATTTTGGATTAAAAATATTGAGGAATGTTGATAAGTAGTAACTTGCAAAAATTAAAAATTAGAAGCATAAACAAAATATTTTGGCATAATTTTAACACCATCAATTTGAAAACTTTTTGCAACTATTATTTTCCGACATCCATCTCGATGATGAATGTTACATGCCTCAGACGCACGAACTTTTTCCTTGTAACAAACATATTTACAGAAGATTGCTGGCGTTGCAGGTTTTTGCTTGAGTGGCAATATATGTTTTGTTGAACATGGGTTATAAAGCTAAATGTGAAATATACTCAAAATTATAATTCTATTCTAAAAATTTAAACCGATTGTATATAATGACACCATTTGTTTTTGATACGAGGAGGTCATGTGACCATCTGATGTGATATCTAATAGTTTGAGTATATTACAAAGTTCAAATTTTTTTTTTTTAAACTTTGAGCATGGTCAATGAAATAAATACAGCCATCCAATTTAACATCTAATGGTTCACCTTATATCAAAAATAAATGTTCTCATTATATATATATATATATATATATATTTTTAAGTTTGGAATGATTCAGGACCTCTCTCCTGCCAAATCCTTCTTTCTCTTACGAATTACAAAGAACCAATACATGAATCCTCCAAGAATCATAACGAGTACCACTCCCTCTACAACACTACTAAAAATCAATAGCCTCGGTCTTAGGCTTGAACTTTGATAACAGCCCTTTACGATCCCTCTTGGAGCCTTCACAAAATACACCAACCCTCTCTCTCCTCTCACTTGCTTCACACCACCCACCAATCCATAGTGAAAACATTCCGAATTCGGCGAATATGAATACAAAGCGGCCGCACAAGAACAATTTCCAGCGCACATTTTTACGCATATGTCCATACTACTGGTTGTTATTATCGAATTTGTTCTCAAAATTGTGGTAAAGCCCTCTAATTTCACCATTTCTGTTGACCCATTATGGCAAAAATCGCTGGAAAACTCGCCGGAAATGCAGCTGGAGAGATCATTGTGAGGCCTAAGAAATGGCATACAGGAGCATGAATTATATAAAGTACAAGCTTGGTAATCCCCACAAGTTAGGGGCATATTGCATGGACCCATTAAAACTTGATATACACACTCAAATTTCCTTTTCATTTTTGAATATCTATAGAAACCCAAGTTACCGTTCTTGGCTAAGGCCAAAAGCTTGATGGGTCCTGGAATATCTGGCGTAAAATTGCCAGAAATTTTCGAATTTTTATCAAAAAAGTTCAATCCTGATGAACCCAATTTAGAGAAATAAATAGACTGGCTTTCTGGTGGCCGGAATTCCCAATAAGAGTATTTTTGGTGGCCAGAATTTAAGAAGAGGGCGGCTCCATCGAGCTGTAATTCAAACGAGTAGAAGGTTCTTTGGTCGCCGGAGAATGATGTAAGCTTGCTTGAATTGTAGAGTTTTTGGCCCCAGAGTAAGATATCAGTTGGGAAGTCGAAGCTCTGCCATTTAACATGGTTTTTCGCCGTCATTAATACGAGATTTCCAGTCTTGTGCAGTAGTAATCTCTGTCAGAAAAAGATGGAAATTAGGGGAACATAAAAGGCAATTATTAGAAAAGCAGAATATTGATGAAAATTTGAAAATTGCTTATATAAGTTTTACATCGAAAATGATAGTTTCAAAAGAGATAGTTAGAGTTTATGAATGCCGACCGACCCCTAATAGTTAGAAAAAAAAGCTACGTCAGTATGAGAAATTTAAAAAAGAAGGGAGAAGAAAAAAAGTGAAAGTCCAAAATGGTTATCAGGCCAAACCTATGGACTATTCAGATGAAAGCAAGGGACAGCTTTAAGCAAGTATATTTTATTTAATTTTTTTAGATAAAAGAAATACTAATTTTGAATTTAGATATTTTCCCTTATAATTTTCATTTCATTTACTCACAAACTACTTTATCCTCTCCTTTATGATACACAAATTTAGAATACAACACATGTGTATGCTATAGATATATCATAAATAGCATAAGGAGCATGTGCATGCTATGCTGTATGTATAACACCATTACAAGAGGATTCATGACATGTGCTTGCATACGCAACAAGTGTGTGTCATGTACCTGCACGCCTTGTCCAGAAGTCCCTGTACTCCACCCAATGCTCCCTCTCGAGTCCTTCAACTCCAAATTTCCGGCTACCGTGAAATCCAAAATACATCTTTCCGAAGGCCGGAATACCGAAAACTCGTCTGAATTCCAGACCACCAACCCACCGGAAAACACCTTCAAAGAGCAATAGTAGTATTCTTCGCCTTCGTGATAATCCAAGCTTAAACCAGCACGGACAGGTGGGAAAATTCCATTTGTTTCCATGAAAATCGCTTTTCCGGAAAACCCACTCTGGTTTCCCGGAGGGATAGGAAGGATCACACGATTTCCGGTGAGAAACTCTGCCGAGCAAATGCTAAGAGACAACAAGAGGAAGAGAAGAACTATGGTTATAGTGGCTGGAAAATCAGGCAACATGTTGCCTGAAATTAAAATACCGAAACGCATGGGAATTTTCCGGCGACTTGGCCGGAAAAAGGAGGGTGTTCTGTCCAGAGGCGCATGTGGAATAGGATTTTAAGGTGCCATTTTTGGGTTGAAAGTTGAAATAGAGTTATTTTAAGTGGGAAATTGGAGGGCCCACCAGAGATTAAGAAAAACAAAGACCATATTGCCCTTACCTTGCCTTAAATGGCCGGCAATCGTCACCTGTCAATATGTCCCCATAATATAATAACCAACAGCTGTCACTCATAGGCTTATCACTGTCAATCATTTGGTTGGACGGTGATGTAGAGAAACTAGCTCCGTACGGTTTATTTAGTTGCCCTTGTGCAATGGGATCCACTTCCACCAGTTACTAAAAATTCGACGATCGGATCGGTTACCTGTGGGTTGGATCGGGATAAAGAGGTGGACGATTCTAACTGAAAAATCCCCATCGTCACTTAATTTTTCTATTGGATAAGGTTTTTATGAGTCGATGACTTATTTATTTAAATGAATCCTCTCTCAAAATCTATTTTAGAGATGGATTTTGGATTCAATATTTTAGAGAATGAAAATCGCAACCATGATTCGTACGAACTTGAAAGCAATAAATTTTAAAAATAAAAAAATAATTACTTTTTTTAAAAAAATAGTTTTAACGCTATCGATTTTAAATTTTTATAGGCATGGATGTTAGATGCATCTGATGATGCCATAGTAGAATTGTTTGACTTGAGAATAGTTGAGGCAGACCAAGAGAGCTAGAGTCGAGACTCGATTTTTCATAAGTTGAAACTCGATTCTTCAATCTCGAACATTTGCTTTTGCTCAAAGGACTCATTTAAACTGAGTTTTGAAGGGAGTTTTTTAGATAACTTAGATCAGGCCAAAAGTGGGGGTACTTTAAGAGACTATGAAGGTCGTTATTTTCTCTTACACCGGGCTTGTGGCAACATCTCAACTAATCAAGCTGAAATTTGTTTGCTCCTGTAAGGATCGGTAAGTTATTGTTACCAAAGGAATTACAAGATATGTATTAATTGATGGCGACTCCTTTAATGTTATAAAATGGTATAAACATGAGCAAAGGATTCCATGGTCTCTTCATGTTTTTTAGCTGAAGATCTAAGATATTTGCTCTTCCCTTGTGCTTTGGGTTTCCTTTTATCACGTCTATCGAGATACCAATGATGCAGTCGAAGCCGGACGTTTAACCAAATTCGGAATATCCTTACCTTCTTTGTCTATTTTTGATGCTCTGATTCCAAATGTGTAATCTGATGCTATTAACTGAGTAATTTACAACTTTACACAAATTTAAATCATTAATTACAAAATTATATTTGAAAGTAATTAAAGCCGATATAAAACAATGGATTGGAAAATATGCTATATATCGCATTTCTACTTTTTAGAGAATTTTAATTACAATTGTTGTAAAATGTGAGATATAAAGATAATCTGTAGATACATTTTATTTAAAAATAGTAGTTTAAAACTTGCCATTATTCCTAATTTCCTCATGTCAAGTAGATATTGATTTCCTAGTTATATTTTTTGTTTTAAAAAAATGTTAATGTAATATTTTAAGTTACTCAGAATATCTTTCCATGAGCAAATTACAACAAATTCACCGAAAATTACTTTGAAGAGGACAAGAAGATGGATCAAACTTAAGAAAAAAGATGAAACAAAGGTCTTCCACATGGCCACCATATTTCTGGTTAAAGAAACCATATTGACTGCAGGTGGATGAGCAAGAGGGTCAAAGGCCAACTTGATCAGCAATATTAACAGGCTCACTACCCAAAGCAGTATTAATATTTATTCTGTTTTTTTCGGGAAATTCAATGGTAGGAATCCAATTTGGAGATGTGGTATTGCTGAAAGTCAACTGCTAACCATTTAAAAAAGGGGTTGAGGTCGTGGTGGTTGTATCCCCACATCCAGTTATCATTAAATTACACAAAAAATAAAAATAAAAATAAATAAATTGCTAACCACTCAAGCTCAAACCCAATTCCTATTAATACTTAAATCTCACTATAAATTTTTTTTTTAAGAGTTGTTTAATGTTACCTAAAATCACATCTTTCTCTTTTTCTAAATAGTAGACTGGAACATTGTATCTAAAAGTAAAATTTGAGATTAGCATTTCTAACACCCTTACAGATTACCCGCAATCAGAGAATGGTCCCAAAAAAGTAGAGACATCCCACATTCAGAGGAAATGGTGGACTCCATATTTTTTGTGTGAATTCAATATTTTTTTTATTTTAATCCCTTAATAAGATTTATGTGCTTAAAGTTTGGGGTCCAACAGTCCTCTACTTTTTAAAATGACTTATGCTACTGTATAAACCCATTGAACATATAATATTTATTCCTCTTTCTTTATTATTAATTAGGTCAAGCTTAAAAAATAGAGGACCATAAGGGAATTTATCTGAAATAAAGCGCATTTTTTGTCCAAATAACATCTAGATTGTGACTTATAAATGTGCCATGCTTAATATCAACTCATCAAGAAACAAAAAGGGGCATAGGGTTTTTTTTTGACATAGAGTGCAAAGGGTGGAGTTTTGGGGCATTTTGTAGGTGGATGGCATCATGGAGCTAGTGACAAATTATGGGGTCCTTGTTGCATGTGTTAACAAGGGTCCCTCTATCAATCATAACTTCCACTCTTGCTTATAACTAGTGATCCCCACAATATCTTTATGAGATGGTGCACATGTGTAGTCCACTACAAGAAAAAGGAAATGAAGACTTCTAACCCATGGCTAGCCATCTAATGGTCATCAAACTCGGTCGGGTAACTCGGATGCACTAAGGTGTCTGGTTTGGATGACAAACTTTAAAATCAGGGTGAGTCTGATTCTGACTGTTGAATTTTATTTATTTTGAGATCCTGCCGGGTTGGGCAACAAAACTTGCCTAGGGAGCATGGCTCATTCGAGTCGGACTCAGACTAGGGAACCTGAAGAGTCCTAATCTGAGTCGTACTTTTTAATAGCTAATTTTAGGCATAAAACATGTGCAGGACGAACCATTTCGATGTTGTGTCCTTGACTTGCAGAGAGAAAGGTCATAACGATCTAAATGTGGTGCATGTACACAATAGGTACACCGAGTATGATACAACATCCACCGTCTGGACAATGGATTTAGATGGACACTTATTCAAATAGAATCAAGTCCATATATTTTTAATGGAGAAAAAAAAATATTTGTTTTTCTTTTTTGGGGCAAATAAGCAGAAAAAAAAGTTACATACTCACTTTCATTCATTGGCACAAAATGATAGCATGAAGATAAATGGAAAAAAAAAAAAAAGCCCATCGTGCAACATACATCGCAAACCAATGGTGAGAAATTTGAGTAATGTTCTTTCTTGACACAAAATGGTGACAAAGGCTAGGTGTTTTTGCCATCATAAACTTGTTTATTGTCTATTCAACCAAAAAACAAAAACTTGTTTATTGTCTCAATTATTTTTAATCTTTGGCAAGATAAATGGAGCGAAATAAACACAACTATTCTATTGGATGTTGCAAAATAGCCAACAATTATTAAAGTAATCCACCCAAACTAGTATTTGACAGGTTTTAGCTGTTTGATCAGCATATTTCGACTTGTTCAACCGACAAAATAAAGTGTGCAACTTTTTCTAATATATTTTGTGTTTTTAAACAATTGTTGCTTTTAAAATAGTCTTAAAATCTGTCAAACTGGATAGACTGCAGTCATCCTAATTTTGACTGAACCTGATCCCTCACTGGTTCAATAATTGACTGATAACAAGAGTGTATACCTACTACATTAATCATACATAAAACCATAGTTGATGCTCAGGGTGGCTGAATTAAATTGAAACCTTAAAGATAAATAGAGTTTAAGTCCCAGTTTGGACATTCACCTTTATAGGTGGTAGCTCCAAGACATTGTGATTGCGCCAAGAATAGGTGGCATACCACCATTTATAGGTGGTAGCTCCAAGACATGATTATAGTTACAAAAGTAAATAACCACACTCACAACTCCGAGGCCAGCCCAAGCCCATCTCGTTGCCACCTTTATTTGGCACAAAAGATCACAATCAACCCTAACTGCTAATGTGGAATCGGGTCGCTGGAGATGTACGATTGACTTAAAGTTTGAAACAATTTTCCTCACCTTAAGTTTGAGACAATTTTCCTTACCTTAAGTTTGAGACAATGTTCCTCACCTTAAACTTTCTTTTAACCCCTCCCAAGCTTAGATAAAGGATATGAGTTATGTTAGGTAGACAACTAATGTGAAACTTTGCCAAAAATTTTCTTCATCTGGGAAAGGATTTGGTACGTCCTCTTGCATATGGGGCTTCTACGCCAACGGTTGTGATTGTTTTTTTCGATCATCTTGCTTTTAAATCCCAAGAGCCCAACAGTATTGAAAAGAAACCAACTGGCAACAGCGTCTTGTCTCTCCCTCTCGCACGATGGGAGGTCTCTCTATCTCCCACTCACCTCTCTCTCTCTCTCTCTCTCTCCTTCTCCCACCCACCTCTCTCTTAAGCTCTATAACTCATCTCTATTCGTCTCTCTCAGGTTGGACCCTCTCTCTCAAGCCCTCGATGACCCTCTCTCTCAAATCCTCACTGGCCTGGTACCCCTCTCTCTCAATCTCTCTGAAACTTGCCCCTCTCTTTCAATCTCTCTCCCGCCTACCCCTCTCAGCCCCTCTATATACATCTCTCGTTGCCCATCCCTCTCGTTTTGGGGTTTTGGATGTTTTGGGTTTTGGGGGTCTGATACAGTCACAAAGCCAACTGAAGCTATGATAGCAGCCATGGCTAACACAGAGGTCGATGATGATGTCTTGGGTTTCGACCCAATACCTCAGAAGCTCAAAACCGAAATGGCAAGAATTTTGGGTGAAGAAGCAGCCCTTTTTGTGCCTTTTGGTACACTGAGTAATCTCTCGTTGCCTATCTCTCTCGATCTCCCTCTATGCCCACCCTCTCTCTAGAAATATAACCTAAAACATAATTTTTTTTGAAATTTCAGAAATTTTCTATGCTCCATTGCTGCTGCAAAGGCGATT